AATAACGGAAATATAAATTACGGGGATGGGGCGCGATAACGAAGCGAGAAAGAGGAAATATACCGGGGCGCGTAACGAGAAACGAGAATACGATTGAATGAAACAAACAAAATGAACGAGATACAGCCGCGGTTGCCCCGGCCTGGAAGCGCCGAATCGATGCAACGATTAGTGTTTCGCCGGCGGGATGTAAGGGAGAGAAAGAGAGACAAATGGAGCCAACATCTGGATGTATCCGATATGCTGGCTGAGAAAAGCTTGTCGGCCGACGTTGTGTGAAACGCGCCTAGAGAATCGACAGCGGGAACCAATGGTTTCGTGCACACATTCAAGATATGTATTACATTAGTCGGCCTTCTGACCCGAGCTCTCTCGGCTAAAATCCTGCATACCGAATGAACTTATTGTTGGCGAGCGAGCGAGGCGGCCGCGCGATTTTCCCGATTCTAAAGAGCCTGCAGCGAAATCGGCATTGTTTCAACGCGATTGTTTCACGGCGAATGGTATCTCTTTTGGCTCTCTAATTGTAGCGAGGCACTGTTATCGATGTAAATACACGCCGCATAAAAATTGAGCGGTATTTCCTCAATTCGCGAGCGCGTTATCAATTATGCTAATTTTTGCCTCGCTTGAAAATAATTGTAAAAATGTAAAACGAAATGTAAAACGATGCAACAAAAGTCTCTGCGCAATTTGCAAAATGCAATTTTTTTCGTCGCGAAAAAGAATCTCGACGAAATTGATCAAAAAAGTATGTAGATACTCTGTACGCAATTTTTCTTCTCCCGATTGTCTCTTTTTCTCTCCAATAACACATTCGATAATATCGTACAATAAAATGTTATATCCAATCGAGGATGGTTCCCGGGGACGATTATGACCGGAATATGTGCAATTATTAAAATGCAAATAAATTATTAAAATGCAACCTTCGTCAGTCATTCATTATTATTGCGGGGGCGAAAAGTCTCAGGGTCCTTTTGGCAATCGAAACTTTTTTTCTCACAGAACGACGTCTTTCCGATTCGCGCGCGACGTTATTTTTTCGCCAGAAATTACCCACTTTTCTCCCTCGATTCACCTTTCTCGTTTCACGAGACACATTGTGTGTAATCGTCGCTGAGATAAATCAATCCGATTGAGATAACGATAGTATCGCAGGGCGAATTGCGATTCTGATACATGTGAATGAGCATTTGGCTTCGTTTTCTTCCCGAAATCTTGAGAAAGGGCTAATTTTCGCGCCCCCTCTCGTTTTCCTTATCTTCAACCTTGGAGTTAATTTCGCCGGATACTTCTCAGTCTATCCAACCTGGACATCTTTACGACGCGATTCGCGTCGAATTTACGCACACCTGCCCAAGGACGGGCCTGCCTAAAGTACGACAGGGCATTAGATAAGAACGCGCCGATCGATCCCGTGGGCAAGGATTCTCGAAAAAAATAAGGGAGTTGTAGAGAAAAATAACAATGGAAGGGAAGCTGCGTACAGTATTATCGCAATAGATCGACCCTTTCAAATTGCTTTTGAACAACAGGTTCATTTTTATGGGCTCGAAATTTCATCTATATTTTCTGAAAGTTTATGTTGACGTCGATCCTGAAATAAACCACATCTCTCTATTAAGCCTTCGGGGCAACCTTTAACTGAATTTGATGTTATCATATTTCTACCTATGAACCATTTTTTATTTTTTTAATACAAGTGTTTTCGGATTATAATTTTAAAGAAATAAAGTTGTGAAAAAATCTATAAAAATTTGGAAAAATTAGACTTTAATGCTGAATAAAAATTGTGAAGAATAGATTATGAAGAATGTTTCTGTATAATTTATATTACGAGTAAATCTCATTTTTAAAGATAAAATTAATAGGCATTTAAGTAGTAAATCTAGCTATATCATCTTCATATTTTTTTCTATCTTCTACACGAAAATTTAAATTTATTCTACGCAGCTTAAGTTTATATTAACTTTATTTACACACTAAAAATTTTTCCCGTAACGAATACTAATTACAATATCTCTAATAATCTTTCATCTTATTTTAATCCAAGCCGCAAGACGATCATGAAGCGAAATACATAAAATCTGGAATAAAAATGAACGTAAATCTAAAATACGTCTTTTCTCGAATCGCCAAGAGTTAAAACCTCGAAATTGTGATTTCAGACAGGCGCAATAAAATCCACCGGATATCGCCCTCTGATCGCCGAGGGGGATATCACGTTAAATTTCCACGAAATCGAGGAAGGAAGAGATGAGAAAGGAGAAAAGGGGCTTCTTAGCCCTTCCTATAAAGAACTCGCCATGGCGAGTAATCTTTTACTAACGTATTTTTCAGTCACGCCAAAAGCCGGCGAAAACTGAAAAGCGCGTCTTATTCGCGTTTCTCTCTCTCTCTCTCGTTTGATCAGCTTCTCTCTCGCCGGAGGCGGTAACGAGGACGGGACTTATCCGGCCCCGAAATCTCCAACGCGAAATTGCGAAAGCCGGACACAAAGAGGTGCGTGCAACGAGTACCGACACGAGAAAGAGAAGATTGTATCTTCTCGTTTCTGTCATGTTAGCGGCCGAAACGCAAAGAGCAGACAGACGGATGGACTGGTCCTGACACGAGATGCACCGCGAGTGCATCATGCACACGGCGTTTTCGTTGTTAAGCCATCGATCTCTCCTCTCACCTGGGTACAACGAACCGCACGTTCCGGAAGATGTGCAAACTCATTCACGAGATACATCGCAATCGCTGATTTTGATGAGGATCGTGACGTATAGTGTAGGATGAGATCCGGGTGAACCGCTCAAGAGAACCGTTTTTTGAAGATAAAACGCGACTTTGAACCGACAATTCTCGCAAAGGTGAAAGTGTGCCTGCTTTTAGTCTGTAATGTATAATACTTTATAAGCCACCCGAAGCTATAAACGAGCGAGGTACCTGATGTAAAACTTCTGCGAATAGAAATTAAGCTCTCTATTAGGTTCCGCAATGAAGTTTTGAGAGAATCCGCTCTCTTAAATTCCTCTCTCTTTTGAGAGAAAGAGAGAAAATTTTAATTATAATATTCTTTCGATCGTTTTAAATTGCCTTTTCGTTTTTCCAACAAATTTTCTCTACGAAAATCATTTTTATGCGGCAACAAAAGTTTTACGCGAACGAACTTTCGATTGCTTTCAGAGATTCGCGTTTGGCTCGCGAAATTTCGTTTAGAGCGTGATTTCAAAAATTCCTAGATATCGAATATTTCGCTTTTCTTAACGGAACCAGGAAGGAACTGTCTCCATCGGATATATAAACTCCGCTTTCCAGAATCCATACAAAGGGCGCGAGTTTAAACTTCTTTCTTTCCCGATGTATTTCTTTCACATCTGCTTTTTCCTCCGATATCACATAGCTCCAAGAGATTCGCTCATGGTTACATATACTCGTGTTCTTCTTTATCAAAGTACGGTTCGTGATATAGTCGCAGTATAGGATCAATAATAATATCCTATACAGTAAAATAACACACACATAATACTTTAGCGATTTATCGTATCAAAAATTGGAGAATTTTTTATCAAATTCAAGAATTTTATAAAATGATAATATATTGATAATCAAACAATTAAACTGCATTTATTAATTGATAAATTGTGATCATCTCATTTATAATGCAACTCATTGAGCTTTCAACATTTTTTGGGCTATGCATCAGATACAAGAAATTACCTCGATACGAATGATTTAACACGTACGCTATAAACAATGATGGTTGCGAACGCATCTACGTTATATAAGGATTTATGATCCTCCCGTTATTGTTTCTGAATATTTTAGCATTTTTACGACGTCTTTGAAGCTTTCATATCGCGATATCTATCTTCGCTTGAGAGACAAATAGCGATTACAAATAATCCATTTGAAAATAATCCGGTGCAACGACTCTCGCATCGCATGACGTGTAATATCCGCTTCGATTCGCTTAAAAGTATCAGAAGCGGAATTCACCGTGGACCTGCGTATCTTTTTACCTCGCTTTTAATGCCTTTTATTTGTCAGCGCGTCGTATATACCTTCGAGATTCCCGGTGGTTTTGACATCCATCGCAAAACTCGCAATTTTTCCCGGTTCACATCTCCGGTGGTACTCGACCTCCACGCGGGATACAATACGCGCATCTCTTCGGCCAGGATAATCCGTTGAATAAAATAATCGCGATTCTCGTCGTGTGTCTGACAAGGATATATCTCCTTCTTTCGTTCATTTGGGAATTTATATTAATGTCACCGCGTAATCCATGGCGTTCGCCGTTCCGGATCCGACAGCCGACATCTTTTTCACAGAATCGCACACACGCGCGTTCGCATCATATATATATCCACGTAATTACAGAGCGTTTTCTGTCAGGTTACTAATGGGGAAGAGATTTAAAAGATTCATTAGGAACGACTTGGAAAAGACAGCGCACACATACACACAAAGTTTAGTTTCAAGAAATTACTATCGTCATATCTTGGACGCGAAAATGATGAGTTTGCTATCCGACGTTTAATTATTGAATTTAATAATAAACATCAAACAGATATATCATAGAATGAAACTGCCATTTTTTTCCTACTTTGTATACTATATTATTAAATCAAAAAGTAGTAAAAAAGTAATTCAAAACAATCTGCAAAATTAAAATTAGCAGTTGAAAGAGCTAGTGAATTTATCATTTTTGATCATGATAAATTTATTAGAAATCATTCGAGAAATGTATGAAAATAATGACCGAACAATTTTCGAACTCTTTGTACGCAATATAATTATTGATAATAAAGTACGCTAAATAAAAAAAAACTTTCCGCAATTTCCAACAGTTCAAGAAAAATATATCCAGCATCCAGAGGATATTTCCTTCAAACGTCTTTGGAGCGTTTTAACGGCGCCGTCCTTCTGTCAGACATATCGCTGTTCGTCTCCCTGGGAATTGCAATTCTCGACGTTAATCTCGCTGGCGATTTTTCTGTTTCAAGGAGGAACCGCCGACGGCTGTCCCGAGGACAGCGTGCCGAACGAGAACGATGGCGGTTGTAAATGCGCGGATTGTCCACCCCGCAAGTGTCGACCGGGTCAATGGCCGATGCCGGTGAGAGGCACGTTTTCCGGGACCCCCGGTAATTGCTGTCCGCGCTACAACTGCGTTCCCTCAGGTAATGGAATCTACAAACGCGAACCGCGACGGGAAATGGTGTTTGTCGAGTGTAACGATCGGCCGTGCGTGGAAAATCCGAGTCTGTTACGTAAAACCGAGAAAATGATATACGGTGATCACGATAATACCGCGCTTTTCCCTTCGATTAAATCACGTAGCACCGTGCGAAACGAATCGGATCAATGATAGCGTTGATCTTAGGCAAATTGCGTCGTAATAAGAGAACATTCTATCTTGTAACGTTTACCGACAATAAGATAGTATGCGTAGAAAAAAAGGACATTCTTGTTTCGAAAATATATTTAGTTTTAACGTGGAAATCTTGAAATGAGATTATATTGTGTTAATTTAAGAAAAATATAATTGCTTGAATAATTGCTTACTTGAATGAAGCCATTTTATATAGTTCAATCAAAAAAAATATATTCTTATGATTTAAGATTTAATTTTCTTGAATGAAAAAGAAACAATGTTAAATAGAATTAAATAATTATATATTCTTGAGGTGACAATATTAAAATAAGACTATAATATTGTTGAAATTTAAAATTATTATATTCTTCTAAGAAGATTATAAATTGTTGCGTATATACGAAACAATGAACGCGTTAATTTAAGTATATAAGTTTTGATTTGACACTTATTTTTTTCCTGTGTGTGTATATTCGCGTTATCTTATATATACGTATTCCTTATTTAATACAAAATTGAGTAAATTAAGTAAATTAACACAAAATTAAGTAAAATTCTAAAACATTTGGAGATATTAATTATTGCATAAAGTAAATAAAGTTAATATAGCAATTAATAAAATAAAATAAAATATCTAACTTGAACGAATCGATAACGCAAGTTTACGATCTCGAATCGCATCTCTCTCGGTTCTGCAGATCACCATCACCGGATCGAATCGACGTGTCCGGAGGACAGCGTTTTAACGGATGACAGTACCTGCAAATGCGTCCCGACGTGTCCACCACCCAAGTGCCGACCTGGTCAACGGCCGATCCAAGTGCGAGCAGCCAAACCCGAGACACCCGGTAGCTGCTGCCCCCTCCACGACTGCAGACCCTCAGGTAATTACGAAAGGTCGTAATCGAGGCTGTCTCTTCTGTCAGCGATAGAAATACGCCATATATCGGATCGATATTTCCTGGATCTGCTTCCTCTCTCTCTCTCTCTCTCTCTCTCTCTCTCTCTCTCTCTCTCTCTCTCTCTCTCTCTCTCTTTCTCTTCCACTATCTTTCGCTCTTCGATACGGCCTTCCTTCTCTCTCTCTATCTCTTTGAGATGTTCCAATTGCAATCTGAGGAGGAAAGCTCGTTCGTCGAGCTTGTAGCTTCGATATACTTCAGATATCAGCACGAACTTTTAACTCGATCGTAATCAACGCGTTTCTTACGGACGTACGACGTTCCATTAACGAGAGAAAGGAAGAAAGAGTGAGTAGAGAGGGTGGTATATGTGCGTTAAATATGTGACGAGAATAATGAGATTTTGAAAGAGCAAAGAGCTTTGCGATGAAATGAAGGAAATGATTTTCATTGGCATAAATACACATTCGCACATTTCAAGCTTTCCCAGTTCAATTATCGCGAGAGAGGATAATTCTTGACTCTTGATCTCTCAATGAAAATCCCATCTTCCTCAATTATGGATTAAACGATATGACAAGTAAAGGGTTTTTTTATTAATTTCCGCATAGTTTTCATATGAAATCTAAATGAGAATTAAATATATTTTTTAAATGCAGTGTTTTAAATCTCGCTCTAAAATCCGTAGGCTCTTAAACTCAGCGGCTTTATAAATGCTAGTCGCGCAGATTATAAGCAGAGATAATGCTCAGATGCAATGTATTTTACCCGAGCAACGAGCGGCGGTTTTTAAGTTACGACATTTAAAGTTATACCACCGGACGCCCTCGCTGCAAGAACTTTCGATCTACCTGTTGAATTTTAATGAAGTCATTCTTATCTCGCGAAATCGCGAGCTAGCGTTCTCTTTCTCTTTCTCGGTTGAAATTTAATAATATTCTGCATATATGTTTCAAAATTTAATAACATCTTCACTACGAGACCACATATGATCAATAAAAAAATTATTACTTTAAAAATATTATCACTCTTCTCAAATCGTGATGATTTATTGAACTTGTTCAGAAATGATCCAGCAATTCCTTTCTTTAATGTTTCAAATAAAGAAGCGGCTTCTAAATAATTAAATTGTCTATTGCGCGAAAGTATAAAATAAAGTACATATGCCAAGTATATATATTTTCAATACAATTACAATCAATTATAGATCGCCGTCTTTCAGCTTGTTAGATTTTCGACAATTAAATATCGTTTTATGTCATACGATAAATTCACTTTGGTTCTATATCGCGCTGAACAGTGTTTAAACAGCAACGCGACAATTAAACAGCGTTCTATCTTGTTAACAATATTCATTAGCCCATAGTCCGCATTATTGGTTGCACGTACACGGTTGATGCATCGTTTAATTAATACACTTTTGTCCAAAAGTACACGCGATAATAAATATTGACGTAAACCCTGATATACGGCGATAAATAGCGATACAAAACCGATTTAAATTATATAGACTTTTCTTCCGCTTTCTCGTTCCCTCTCTCTGTCTGCTTGATTTTCGTTGCGAAAGCACACACATTTTAACTATGTTAATTACAAAAATAATTATTTTCCGACCGAGATTTGATATTCTAAGCGAAGCTGCATACACAATATTTGCAATTGATTCGCTGCGAGCGTTTTATTTGCATTTACATAGCTGTTTTTCGTTTCATCTTGAATCTAGAACATTAATTTAAGCGGATAATTTTTCGTAAAGAGAACCCGGCGATATTGGATACCAACGTGTTTCTCACATCTCGTAAACCTTACGATTCTTCATTTAACGCGCCTTTGTTTCTCGGACCTCGTTTTTCAGACCTTCATTTTCTTTCTAGAGATTATACTTTCGAGAGATTATACTCTTAATATCTTTTATCCAAAGCGCTTTTATTATCGCTCCCAATTTGAATCGTCAATATTGTCTTCTCCCCGTAATACGGAGCAACAAAAAGTAATGAAATATCCCCAATAACGTAAACGGACTAAAATGAAAAGCCCCGAACGCATAAAAAGGAAAACGCGCGCCCTTTCACATTTTCTTGCAAAAGCTCGCAAATTTAGCTTTTCCCGCAGGCTCTGTAAAATGGCGGGAAAACGTATTACGCGCCCGAAGGACAGCCGGTTAGCCAACTACCGACGCGTATATCGCGGATGAAAAAAATTCGTTCAAATTTTTTCCCTTTCAGCGCGAACCGTACGTTACACGTACGCGTGTAGCGACAAGGAAATAATGGGAGCCATGAACGCCGTACGCGCGCCCGCGCACGACTCTCGAAAATTGTTTTTGCCGCCGCGTTACCGTGGTCGATTTTTCAGCGGGAATGAATGTGCCACTTTAAAAAGTTCGGGAGAGCGTTATGAATGAACGCTCGTGAAATGAGACGGGCCGGGGATAGGTGTATTCGCGCACGTTCGCTTGACCTACATATTTTCTTTCGGATGCGAAAAGCGTCCGCGTTAAAATCGACGGCGCGAAAACACACGCGGAAAAACACTGTAATCTTGAAAGCTTTATCCACGCTGACGCGCAAAACAATCCGAAACATTCTTATTATCTCGTATCTGTCGTGTTAAAAAATCGCCGAGAAAATTAAATTAAACTTTAAGCCGCAAGGAGAGAATTACGTATTACATGATTACGACATGATACGTATTTCCGAGGCGACGACAAGTTCATTTCATCAACGCCAAGGGTGATTTAAAGAAAAACCGACGTTACGTGTAGCGCTGTCTCATGCAGAAAAGATCAGCTCAAGAGTTTACTATCCACGGAGTACTTGGGTATGTAAATTTCACGTGCAGATGTGTGATAGGATTGGTTGTATAAAGAGAGAAAGAGGAGAGGCAGAACGCGTATAAATAAAAGCGTTCTAAGCGCCTGCTGGCTGCGTGAATGGCAAAGTCATCAACGGGGAGCTTAATCGCGTGGTTTCGCGGCAAAAACGCTCGACAGTTTTAACGACAGCAATACGATCCCATAGTCGGTCGTCTAACGAAATAATGTCGCGGATAATCAGATTTTCGCGACACTGAGAGAGGCGTAAGACAACTTTACACGTGTATACGTGCGTCAAGGGGAATTATGAATATTAAGCGAGATTGCAAATCTTTATGAGATTCTGCAATTTCCGCCGCTTTGCTGATTACCGTGCACTTGTCGCCGCTGGAAAATTGGCGAATAATGACTTGATCGTCCTCGAAGAGGAACGTCGTAAACGCGCGCTCTCGTAATCTCGTATGCAAAATTAACGGCTGTCTGGCTAATAACGCGACGACTCTTCGTCATCGTCGTCGTTGAGGGAAAATCGTCCGGCAAGGTTGAAGGACTCGTTAAAAATGTGATTGCACTTTTGCGCGAGGCTGCGATTTTCCTCGGGACCAGACGAGGTCGCGTCTGAAAGGTTCGCTCGACGTCGAAAAATCCGTCGCAACAATTTTATGCAAGAGTTTGCAAACTCCGGAAACACCGAGTTACTCGTCCTCCCTCCCTCTCGTCCAAGTTTTCCTCGTTCGCTCGCAAACTAACATATTTGGGTTAGCGACGCTTCCCGGCGGCGATGTCGTGTGACTTATTTATAAACCGCCTTCAAAAAAATATCTCCTATACTTTTTAGCGTGTAAAATCTGAAAAGAGAGAAATAGTCGAGAATGCAACGTTGAATAGTTTAGTAATAACAAAAAAAAATATCTTCAAGCGTTTTTACAATTATTAAATGGTAGCTATTCTTCAACGTATCTATCTAGCTTTTTTTGTTATATATCATTCTTCATTTTTCTCGGTGTTTGTCGTATAAATTCCAATCATTAATTTTCTTTCACTTTAATTTCTATCTAACTTCCATTTTCTGTTGTTTCAGATCCGATCTCCTGGGCGAAACCCGAGGAGAAGCCGCAGAACTGTATTCACGAGGGCGTCTCGAGGAGACTCGGCGAGGAGTGGAAGCAGAACGACTGCATCACTTGCGTCTGCAACGAGGACGGAACCGCGTCCTGCCAAACTACCATGTGCAAGTCTTGCGAGAACGCGATACCGCCCGATCCCGGCGAATGTTGTCCTCACTGTCCACCACCGACGAACAGTAGCACCGGCTTCGATCATCATTCTGACAGCGAGTCTTGCGAAACGCTGGACGATTGCAAGATGAAGTGTTACCACGGTTTCCGCACGGACAAGAATAACTGTCCGATTTGCGAGTGCGAGGATTGGGTAAGAATATGAAATAATCGGATATTTCTTCAACAGACTTTTCGCAAATAGATTGAGTCGTTGGGCTTTTGTTTATTTAATTAGTAAAAAATGTTACAAAAGATTGCATTGCAAAACAATTACATTTCTGATCAATATTTTTATTTGATGAATTTAACTTTGAAAATGAATTTTTTCCTTGGATTAGTGGCATATATATTGTAAATATTATATTTAACGTCTAATGTAATAAAAAAAGTACAATTAATGCGTGTGCATAAGCTAAAATACAATATGATAAATTAAAATTGTTCCGCATTAATTAACGTTTATCTACATTCACAAAAAAAGGTTCTGCTGATGTAGGTAATTTTCAAATGTAACAACAAAAATTTATCGCTATTTTTGTCTCTACTAGAACATTGTTTGTAACATTTATTACAATTAGTATTTATAGCAGCGAATTCTAATAATATCTTTCAACAAAGTCCGTCTTTAGATCTCATTAAATATTAATGACTGCATTGGATAAAAATAACCAATGAGAAAGGGAATTTATAGGGTTAAAATAACCTTCGTAAGGGACTATTTTTCTGCGTATCTCTCACTATCAAATTTTATAACAAGTATAATTAAAAGTCTATATCTGTAACTTGTCTATCATGGAATATTAACTAAGATAGATAAATGCTTAGCCAATATTGTGAGATTGCATGTTTTGCACTTAACCAATTTAAATGACAGAGACAAAATGTATATCTGAATTGTTAGTGAAATTAAAAAAAAAGTCTATATCTAACTTGTCTATATGATAGACAGATATCGACTTTTAATGTCTATCATATAGACAAGTTACAGATATAGACTTTTTTTTTTAATTTCACTAACAATTCAGATATACATTTTGTCTCTGTCATTTAAATTGGTTAAGTGCAAAACATGCAATCTCACAATATTGGCTAAGCATTTATCTATCTTAGTTAATATTCCATATCTTAGTTAATTTTCTGTATTGTTGTTATAGTTGTAAGACAATTTTTGTAAGTAATACAATACAATTTCCCTCGTAATGTCTTCTCATCCATCGCGGAACGTTTGCTCAACCCTAGCTAAGTTCAACCGACTCAACAACATCGTGCCGCGCGGATTTCCAGTCGTGAACCGGATAAGAGAGGAGAGACATAGTTTCTCTTATCTCTCCGAAACGTACCTGTGCAGCTGGTGTAAGATTTCTTCCCGCAACTATCGCGCAGGGCCAAGTTCGCGGATAAGAGAAATTCCGGCGGTCTCCTCTCACCGCTACCGTGTGCGTTTTATCTATCTTGCGACGAGCTGATGACTCTCGTCTTCTCCCTACAGGAGGAGACCGACTTCATGCCGGATGTACTGCCGGAGGATTACAAAGTTTGCCCGGAACTGCCGCACTGTGGACTGAACTGCGACCTCGTCAAGGACGAGGATGGTTGCACGGTGTGCGCCTGTCAGACACCGCCGCGTTATTATCCACCGCCCAACGATACTGCTCCGGATGCAATTAATGACAAGAAGATCTGTCCCGAGGTCAAATGCAATCTTCACTGTGAACGTGGCCTCGTTATGGACGAGAACGACTGCACCTTTTGCGAATGCAAGCCGTCCACTGCTGGTTGCTCGCCGCTTGTCGGATGCAGAAAAAGATGCAACTTCGGTTACAAAACGAACAAACGCGGCTGTCCTGTAAGTATAACTCGCTGTTACGCGCTATTACGTTGCTATTTAAAATATCGTCAAATATCCGACGATTTCTTTGCAGATATGCCGCTGTCGAGCTTCGTGCATGGACCATTTGAACGAGACGCATCCGGAGGGATCGACTTGGCATCCGAACAGCTGCACCACGTGTACTTGTGAGGCTGGCGGACGGCTTAATTGTAAAGAAACCATCTGCTCGGTGGCTTGCAGTAATCCGCTGCCACCGAAACCAGGCACTTGTTGCCCCATGTGCCCGATCACGGTAAATTTCCTATGATTGATTTCTTTAATACTGTCAAAGTATGATAACGATACACATGTTTAACACTTTAAATAAATTATCTTTCGATTATTTGATTTGAAATAAAAACAATTAAATAAAGGTCCATAGGATAAAATCAAAAAATTCAGTAAAAGGCTTAAAGGACCAGCGCAATGATGTAAAGTAGCGAAAAAACGGTTATATTAATATAATACATCCAATAAAATGTTTATTAAATATAAGTGACAAACGCTGCGTTTTGATCCAATTCGGATCCTTTTCAATGTCGAATCGCGAAATAACAGTAAAAACAATACAAATAAAATAAAATCAAATTAGAAGTCATTAGTAATAATAAACGGAAAGACGCAAAACAAAATAAATAATAATAAAAGAGTAAAAAAAGTCGAGATAAATTAACTTTTGACTTTTTTGACTCTTTTATTATTATTTATTTTGTTTTGCGTCTTTCCGTTTATTATTACTAATGACTTCTAATTTGATTTTATTTTATTTGTATTGTTTTTACTGTTATTTCGCGATTCGACATTGAAAAGGATCCGAATTAGATCGAAACGCAGCGTTTGTCATTTATATTTAATAAACATTTTATTGGATGTATTATATTAATATAACCGTTTTCGCTACTTTACATCATTGCGCTGGTCCTTTAAGCCTTTTACTGAATTTTTTTTTATTTGATTTGATCTTTTCTTTTTCTAAGATATTTTTGTCAACATGAAATCGATGGATTAAGAATAGAATTGTTGTCGATAAATGGTAATCTTTTGAAGAGAATGATATCTCTAAAAATCGTTATTATGCCGTATATTTGTTTCAGATCAAGAAGAACGACACGGTTAATCAAATTACTAATCGAGGTTGGGGCACAGTACCGATTACGTTAATCGTCGTACTCGCGTTACTGTGTCTGCTACTGATAATCCACATCGTGCGCAACCGATTCCGCGGCCGTCTGTCACCCTCGGAGACTTCGTATGCGTCGTACCCGCCACAATATTACAAGTGTGTGCCCGCCTACGACACCCCGGTGCATCGAAACGAGAAGATCGTACCTTTGTAAAAGACTGTTGTTGATCCCCAAAGAGAGCGCGCGATTATCGGCGAACACAACTTTGCGATTACACGCAAATACAAGCGATTCGCTAACTTTTATATACGCGATTGCGTCGACAAGATCGACTCAGGACTTTACAATCGCGATACGATATCGATATTAACTCTTAAACAGTGGATCTTTCATTTGTAAATTACAATCCATTGTTCATAGACAAAGAAATGCGGCAAAATATATCTTGTATAAAAAAATCATAGAAACTTTTTAAAAAAAGTCTTTCTAAAATTATACAAACTTTATCAAGTCAGAATTTAGTCAAGTCCGAGATATATACTAAATTATTCTATATCGATGAATGAAAAAGATGCCTTTAAGAGTTAATAGCAGTGGATGATTTATTAACTTATCGATAGTTTAATGCCAGATACATAAACTTGTTAACATCACGCTAATTCAAGAGTAGAGCGAATATCGAAGGAAAACAAATATCGCGAAATATTGTATAACTTTCTCTCTTTGGGTCTGGCTGAAAATACTTTACGTAGATTCAGTATTATCTATAAGCGACAGTGAGTGTGTGTTGTGAACTTTAAAAGAGAGAAGAAGAAAGAAGGAGATGAAAGAGAACCGCTAATTTGAACCAAACTATAAAACATATTTGCCGAGTCCTCTTGAATCCCTTGACTTCATATGACACGCACTGTGTAACTTGTAAATTATAATTAAAACTGTAGCGTAATTACGATTAATTAATATAGGTATAAATGTATTAATGTTAATCCATCGTAGGACACTCTAACTTACATTTAAAAAAAATTGTAAAAGAGACAGGTCTTCACCGTAGTATTAGTTGCCTTGATCTCTGGACCACCATTATTATCTCGTGTTGTATTAATGAACGTTTATATGAAATAAAAAGTATTTGTTTTTCTTTTTTTTATATGTGGATATTCAAATTCATAGCGATCCGAAGTGATTATTGAATATCGCTTACGAAGTAAGAATAATTTTTTTCTATTATTTTTATAATTTTTATTATTTATCATGGAAATTTATATTATTATTAAAAATTTTGTTTATTTCGTAGTATCAATTTTTCGTCAATTTGTTTTTCATATATTTTTATAATATATATATTTTTTTGCTTTTTATGCGGTATCAATTCTATTAATTTAAGATTTATTTAAATCACCTTGCGACGGCTGATTTGTGAGAACAAGTTTATAGACTTAATCGTAGGTTAGCTGTTAACAACTGTGTTATTAGACTGTTCCTATATGTTCTACCTTTTATTATTAATATAAAGTTTCTCGTAAAATAAAATTAAGTCGAAAAATAAAGTCTCCCTTTTATTACTAATATAAGTCTCTCGCTCGCTGCGAGTACAACGCGTGTAATATTTATATCCAATGAGAATTCCTAATTGCGTCTTATATGCGCGCATGGAAACCGTCGCACCTTGCGAAGGGATGAAGGAGATACATGTACATATACCGTAAAAAATTTAGATTAAGATGAAATTGAAACGATGCTGAAAGCTCTCGATTCCTTCGAAACTTTGTCACGGTATGATCGACTTTAAGATTTGTGCTAGATACGAGATGAGCGGCAGATACCCCAGTGCGCGCGGATCATGATAGCGTTACATAATACACGATTACGTTCCCTAACTTCTCGGTTGCTTGTACATACACGCCCGGAAGTTCCTTTCTCCGGTGGCTTGCGAATTCTCGGATGGCGAACCCGAATTATTTTCGGATGCTAACTAACAGCACGCTTAGATAGACGCATCTCTCTCGTTCATACATATTTCGCTATGATATAACATAACACACGCTATGATATAACATAACACACGTGAACTTGTGTTGAAATTTAAACACTTGTGTGAAGATTAGAATGCATACGATAAATAAGGTTGCGAGAAAGGATGAAAATTAAAGGAATACTTTATTGACAAAGATAGGAGGAATATAAATGTGATTTAAAATTTGAAAATTATATATGTATTGAACGAGAGAATGTACTTTGAACGATGCACGGCCGAACAATCGATTCCCCGTCACCGCCGATGAACCATACATATCCATGTGCTTATACGAACGCACGTAGCTCGTCTTCTCTTCCTTCTTAATTAAAACACATACATATATTTTTTCAATGTGACTTGTCTTATATATCTCGTATGTATAATCGTATAGCCTATACATTAGACTTATTTATACGTACACGTGTAATCGTGCAAACAATACCGTGCGCGCATACCGTACATTTACTGTCTATAAATTGCAGACTGTATTTCCGCACGTGTGTGTATGTACTTCGGAGACAATATGTATGTAGTATATCGACGAGATAGAAAGACCCGGATAGCGTAAATATCTATAAGGATGATTTCTTTTCTTGTTGTATGCAGTATGCACGGCAGTAACAATAACAATTAATGATAACAATAGAGTAATAATATAATTTAGCATGTACGCGATTCTTGATGACGAATCCAATTTATAAACGGACAGTATACAATAAAATTTGTGATAGACGATAATTGGACATTCGTCTGCGCGCAAAAAAGAATTGTGATTTTTCCGAGAAATTTTATAACATATAAATGCCCACAGAATTTGTGATCTATTATTGCGACATCATATTCGATTTACCCCTGACTTCCTATTTCAACTCTCCGGTAAAAGATATGATTTAAACAAATGTGTTGAGAAAAATTAATTAAAAGAATTAAATGTGATTTGTTTTTTTATCGTTTTATTAAAAAGTGAGACAAGTCGCACTTGTGTTTGCGGTGAGAATTTAAAAGGAACGCAAATGTTATGTTGTGACGTCAATCGCGCGATTCTATCGATATAAAATCTTCCCCTTAAAAGTGAAATAAAATTACAATTGTAATACAATTGTAAATATAATTGAAACAAAAATAAAATAATTCCTTCTTTCTCTAAAAGATTGAAATATATCATATTTATAAAAAATTTGTAACTAAGACATCACATACGATATATACGATGGGAACATATTTTATATCCCGCGCTAGATATCCAATTATTCGCATCGCAAGAAAACGGAGCCTAATGTATAGGGTGTCCCGAGAAAGATGTACAGAATAGTTTAAAATACAGATATTTTTTATTATTTTGATAGAGAAAATATATACTGCAGAATGACAATAGTAGATTTTTTGACTAATTTGAAATTGATTATTTTCTCAACGAAAATGCAGATCATTATTTTTGTAAGTTTTTAATTTTTTTTCTTAATTATATATCTGTAAGTATGTGTGAAATTAAAATTCTATTAAAATAAATTCTACTTGAAAATCGAAATAGTTTTGCTTCACAAAGTTTAGTTTATAAAACATTTATAATTCGAGAATCATTGATGCTTTGCTAAAGAAAATCGTCTTCAAATTGGAGAAATTTCTTCTTCAGAAAATTTTCTATTAAAAAGATATTCGATAGTTTCCGCTATTATCTCATATTTGTTTATAAATTTTTAAAGTTAGTTTTATTTCAGCGAAGATTTAAAACAACATTTTATCTCTTGAATGTTTTAAGTATACATACACATATATATATTTTTTTTATATTTACAATTTTAATTAAATATTCGAAACTATGATCAAATCTTGAAAAGTATTTCTTATTACAAAGTTTATTACAAATATTTTCCTCAAAGATTTAATTTTTTAATTATAACAAATAAGAGTTTTGAAAAAGTTGTGTACTATTCGTGTACAACTTTTTCGTAGTTATCTATATGCGTATAGGACACCAGATGATTATCGAGATACATAGAACGTAGATGAAAGAGTTTTTGAAATCGAACCGGTTTTTGAATGCAGTTACGAACAAATTGAGTAGTGTGTTGTACTTGTGCGCTCTTTGTACAAAAAAATCCCTGTAACGTGATCATATCAGTGTATAACTTAGATTTATCTATAACATATACGTATATTATACAACTATACATACTGGATGCGCAATGTTGTGAAATAGCTCTTGTATGTTAAATAAACCGAGATTATAAATAAAATTGTTAATATGTGAACACATTACTTTTCATTATTTCCTAATAACATATATCAAATTCTTTCTTTTTTGATATATTTATTTTAAAATACTTCCTATTGAGTTGTGACATCACACATTCTTTCTCCTTGAATTATTATTTTTTCTACTTTTTATTTGTCTATTAATTTATTTTATTTATCTTTCTGATTAAGCAAATTCATTCTTAGATATAATAATTGCATTCATGATATACGTAAATTTCTCATCATTATTTACTTTTTTATTATACGTGTGTAATCAGATTATTCTATTCTGACTGTATATGTATTAAATTATATAGTGTAACAATTATAAATATTATTGTTATTAGCGGATTTTATATAATTGCAAGCTATTTTTCGTTCTTAATTACTATGTATTTTTATCCTACATATCCTCTTCTTCGAATAGTTGTATTATTATAGTCTGTCGCATTTCCATAAGACCATACAAACTTTCATTTTGATGTTTATCGAAATATCTTCTATAGCCATTTATCCTCAAGCATTCTTAAGAAATTATTCAAGCCATATTTCTCTCGATTTCTTTAGTTTCCTATTTATTCAAAAATTAATATTAATATTGATATATAATTTATATATATATAATTTTTGTGTATCTCTCTTAGTCTGACTCTTTCCCTTCGACCTGTCCGGCATGGGTGACCCTGCCGATAACTACGGCCGATATTTATAGTCTGTTCTTATATTTAAGATCGTCATAAATAAAATTTGACAATGTTACATTTTATTGGAATCTTAAGATAATCTTAAATATAAAAAATCTGTATAAATATCGACGCATGTTACCGCCGGCATAGCTCTCAGGTTCATTAGAGTACTCAAACCTCCTCATCCGGCAAATGCCTTCGTTAAGGTGAAGATACAGGAGGAGGAAACAATTTATTTTATTTTATTTTTATTTTCTTTTAACACAGATTTTGCAAATTTGTCAAATAGAAAATATAGAAATAGAAAGAATTTATAAAATATACATATATTATATAATCACAAAATATTATAGTGTATAATGTATATTACATAGCTTGCAATCATATAAAAATATATTACAAAATATATACTATAATTATAGTACAATTTATAAATTGATACTATCAACATCAAATAAACATATTCGAATTTATCCAAATATTTTCAATAATACAAATAATTTGATATTGAGAGCTTTAATATATTTGAACTTACAATAACATCATATATATATATATATATATATATATATATATATAATAATATATAAAATTGTTACACATTTATATCGAATGTACATAAAAAAATATTTTATTATATTATCACACGAAGATATCCGCAATACGTACAACGTAAAATTTATTAGAAATTTAGATTAGCGTAGCTGATAATCTATGGCAACCAAAAGAATTATTAATAAATTTATCGATTATTTCTTCCAATTAAGAAAGAATAATTTTAATGCGGAATTTTAGTGCATTTTGTAAGATTTTCTAAAAGAAATATTTTCCGATGACGCGAAAAGATAAAGTTTCAATGTTACTCAATGCTTAAATTAGAAAAAAAATCGCGAATTAAATTTCACGAATGTATATGATGAATAAATAAATCGATAATAGTATTAATATTTAATCACAATACACAATTTCTATAATAATCAAAATACAACGGAAAAGGTGCGCACTCGCAATATAATTATTATCGTTTTATGTGACAATAAAAATATTGCAACATTAAAGGCGCATTTCATATAATTTGTAATTATAATATACGTAACGAATCAAATGCAAATGCAGAATCTAATACTCGATTTCTCAAAAATACAATTTCAAATAAATGTAAATTTCGCGATCAAAAGTAAAGTATATATCTTGTTTCGCGGACAATTACAAACAGGCTAAACTTTAATGTTCCGTAAAATAATCGCGTAATCGTCACGTTGAAGGAAGGATAATTGATTCATTT